CCTCAGCATGGCCGGAGAAGCAGCGCGTCGGTGCGAGCCCGGGATCCGAACCCGGGTCGCCAGCAGTGGAGCACGCACACTTAACCACCAAGCCACGGGGCCGGCCCAGATTATTGGTTTATTTAGTTTTCAATTTTGTCTTAAGTTGATTTAGTAATTTTTACTTTCCTAGAAAATTATCTATCACGTGTTTTCAAAGTTATTAGAATAAAACTGTTCGTCATAATCTCTTATGACTTCTTCATACAATATCCTCCTGTTTAACCTATTGTATTTATATCTTTTCTCTTTTCCCGCTTCTTTGGTTTATTTTCCCAGGCATTTGTCTGTTATCAGTTTAAAAGAACTGATTTTGTTGTTTCTGCTTACTTTTTCTTTGATTTCTATTCCGTTAACCTCTTTATTATTTCCTTATTCTTTCATAATTTCTATTTTAATTCTTCTTTGATTCATGAATTGTTCTGAAAGTTTTTTGAATTTTCCTTTAATTTTTATTAGCAAAAATGTATTTGATTTTGTTTTCAGTAATAATTTCTATGTGCTTCCCAAATGGATTTAAAAAAAAAATTGTATCAGAGCGTCATTGATTTGATTTGATCTATTTTTTAATTTTATTGTGGTAAGAATACCTCACATGAGAACTACCCTCAACAAATTTTCAAGTGTACAATACAATATTGATAACTATAAGCACAATGTTTTATAGCAGAGCTCTAGAACTTATTCATCTTGCATAATTGAAACTTTATGCTCATTGATTAGCAATTTCCCATTTCTCCCTCCCCCTCCACGCTGGTAACCACCATTCTACTCTCTGATTCCATGAGTTTGACTATTTTAGACGTCTCTTGTAAGTGGAATCATGCAATATTTGTCCTTCTGTGATTGGCTTATTTCGCTTAGCATATGTCTTCAAGGTTCATCCATGTTGTTGCATATTGCAGGATTTTCTTCTTTTTTAAGGCTGAATAATATTCCATTGTATTATATACCAGATTTTCTTTATCCATTCATTTGTTAATGGACATCGTTGGTGGATGAACATTGGGTGCTAATCTCTCTTGGAGATCCTGATTTCAATTCTTTTGGATAAATACCCAGAAGTGGAATTGCTGGATCATTAATGTAGTTCTATATTTAATTTTTTGAGGAACTTCCTTACTGTTTTCTGTAGTGGCTGCCTCAAGTTACATTCCTACCAACAGGGCACAGGGTTCCCTTTTATCCACATCCTCACTGACACTTGTTATCTCTTGTCTTTTTGATGATATTCTAACAGGTGTGAGGTGATATCTCATTGTGGTTTGATTTGCATTTCCCTGAGGATGAGTGATGTTAAGCATCTTTTCATATACCTGTTGGCCATCTGTGTGTCTTCTTTGGAGAAATGTCTATTTAAGTATTTAACTTATTTTTTAATTGGGTTATCAGTTTTTTTGCTTTTAAGTTGTAAGAGTTCCTTATATATTTTGGATATTAACCCCTTATCTGATATGTGGTTTGCAAATACTTTCTCCCATTCCGTAGGTTGGCTGTTCACTCTGTTGATGGTTTCCTTTGCTGTGCAGAAGCTTCTTAGTTTGATGTAGTCCCACTTGTTTATTTTTGCTTTTGTTGCCTGTGCCTTTGGTGTCATATCCATGAAATCACTGTCCCCACTTGGTGTCCACCTGAAGGGGTGGGACGGGCCCTGCTGCACCTTGTTTGTGTCCCAGAGCATGTGGCCCGGGGCTGGCAGGTGGCACGCACTTGATGCTAACCTCACTGGGACTCGACACCGAAACTCTAGTTGGCAATGCCTGGTGGTTTATTTTCCAGTAGCGGCCTATCGTCCCTTTGAGTCCTGGGTGAAACTGAGAAGGACAATGAATGTTGAAAACAAAATGGACTTAGGCTCTGAAGAGCCAGATTAATCCTCTTTAATGACCTAAAACTCTTTATGCCCGTGTGCATATATGTGTGTAATTCAAACCAGTGTGGAGATGGGGAAGGGGAACAGGACTTCAAGCCCTGCCAGGTAGGCGGGTGCGCTGCGGCGGCTGGCAGACCTACTTAGCAGCGGAAACAAGGAGACGCCGTCTGAAGCCAGTTCCTTCCCTCCCCGGGAGAAGGACAGAGAGAGAGGGCACATTGTTTGTGGACAAAAGCGAAGTTACGTCAGAGAGAACAACACACTGTAGGCTCAAGAGGAACGTGGGAACCAGAGCCTGAGGTCCCCCTCGGCCCACGTGGGCTGCTCAGCAGGAGATGGGCACAGAGGGGGATGAGACCTCATCAGGGGACGGACATGGAAGGGGACATGGCCTCAGCAGGGGATGGACACGGAGGGGGATGAGGCCCCAGCCCTCCCTGGACACTTCTTCACAAAGCCCACCACCAGTGTGGCCCCAGTGGCTTTTCTCATGGGTTTGATTCCCCAGGACCCCTCAGGCACAAGGGTCACTCTGACTCCCGTGAGTCCCTGAGCTGCTCCGAGGTTGCGAGCCTGCCAGGCAGGATTCAAGAGCCTGCGCACTTGCCCGGCCTGGGGGACAGCACTGTCCTTCACGACACCCTATACCCACCTGGCTCGCCCTTCAGAATCCACCAGTAAGAGACACTGCGTTGGTGAGGGGTCCCTGGGACCGCTGGACAGCCCGCGTCACCCCCAGACAAAACCAAGTCACATCTGGGTGGTTTGATTTGCTTGTAAACGGATCTCTGCTCACCTGTCAGAAGTGTCCACCAGGTGTGGTCATGGCAGCGATGAATACACCATCCTGGCTGCTGGAACCCAGGGGGTCGGGACAGTCTTATTGTGGCCATCAGACAGCACAGCCTGCTGAGCGCTCACCGCTGAGTTGGGTGCCTTGAGGAGATGAGGAATTGTGCCCAGAAAGACATGGGGGCAGCATTTTAAATTGAGGACTGTCTGGGAGCTCAGCATAGCCTCACCATGCTCACCCCTCAGGCTTTTCAAGAGGCGGGTGTAGGAGAGTACCAGGAAGCTGCCTGTCACATAGCCGGTGACTCTCAGACACGAGGTCCAGGGCCCTAGGGGCTGGTGCATGAGAGACCCGCCTGACCGTGGAGACTGCCATCGAGGGAGGCAGTTACCAGTTACCTGATGTTACCACTGTCCCCTGGAAGGGGAGTGCTGAGCCTGGAGGTGGCCGGCCTAGATGGGACGAGTGCCACCGGGGCCCCCTCCACCCCAGGCTGGCTGTCCCCCAGGGTTGTAATGAGGATTAGAGGGCCAGGCAGGGCCTAGCTCCGTGCCTGGCAGGTGGGAGCTCTCTCTGTTTTAACTAACGGAGTGACACGCGTGCCTCTGCGGTGAGAGAATCACACAGTGCGAGGAGTTTGTGACATAAACCCTGCCCATCACTCCAACCCCAACCCCAGCCCCAACCCCAGGCAGGTCTCAGGGGCAACCTCCATTAACTGTGGCCATTTTTGGTTTTCCTGATGATTGCCTCTAAATCTTCAAATAACATGCTTTGATCGCTGCCTCTTGAGTCATGACTTTAGGTGCTGTCCTCTGGCTGCCCGCTGTAATGGGGAGCACTTAGCGACCCTGCCTGTGCACCTGCCAGAGGAGTTATGTCACTGTCTCCTCTGTTACTTACGTCATTAACTTAAATAAGACACTGAAACTCATACCTCTTGTTCTTACATAACACACTTAAACCCATGTTTCCTGTTCTAACAGCCGTGTACCGTATCCCCCTGCCGTGCACACACACACATTTGCACACACTCTCTCTTTAACATCACAGCTGTTTCATTATCTAGTTCCAAAAGAGAGGATATGAACAGTTTGTTTACCAGAGTCTTTTGCCAATGGCTGTGGCCCCTGGCGGCCCTTCCTGCTCGGGTTTGTGGACGCGCCTCTGGCTCCAGGTGTCCAAGGGGGCAGGTATCTCTGTCCAATTTCCCAGCCTCACGTTGGCAGGGTGACGAATCGTAGTTGTTTTTGTTAGTTATCGAAACTAACATCTTCGTGTGCAGAGTAGCTAATTCAGCCCCCCTGGGTGATGGGCCACCTCCAGGCCTAACTCTTAGCCTTTCCCTCTTGGCAGCCAGGAGCCCCTCTCCTTGGCCGGCTTTACCATGGCGGGCCTGGTTCCAGACCTGCAGCACATTCTCTTCTGGATGTCCAACTCCGTGGAGCTTCTGTACTTCATCCAGCAGCAGTGCCCGCTCTACATGAAGAGCCTAGAGGAGGAGCTGGACGTCACAGGTGAGGCTTGTGTTGCTCCCTCCACACTGCGCTGGCGCTGCCAGGTGGGGAGAGTGGGGTGGGAGTGGTGTCACCCTGCTGTCCCCGGGTCGAGTTGGCCACTAGAACAGAGATGGATTCATGTCGGGGGCTTCCTCTGAGAGGGAGGTGACGCCGATGGTTGGGCTAGTCTGGGCCCTCTTGTCCACGGCACGTCAGCACTGTCCGTCCCTGTCGTTCCGTGGACTCAGCACAGCCCCACTGTTGTGCCTGAGGGAGGCCAGGGGGACACAGGTCACTCACAGGACACTGGCAGAGAGCACGGCACATCGGCCCTCAGCCACCATGCCTTACAAGATGCACGCAGTTTCAGAAGGGAAGCACGTTGCCAGTAAGAGCTCTAAAACTGTATGATGCATCTTGACTTCAGAAACTAAAATGTGGGAAAATGTACATCTTAGAGTTTATGAAATACAGTGTAGATGCTGAAAACACTAAGTTGAGAGAGTGACTGACTGGGGCAGTCTGGGAGGACTTCCTGAAGAGGGGGGCATTTGGCCGGCCCCAGAGGCCTGGGTGGGATTTCAGCTGGTGTGTGTCTGAGCAGGGCTGTGCAGGGACTGGAGAGGCGTGGTGGGTCCTGGAACAGAGCCAGGAAGGAGCAGCAGGACCGTCCTGCGGTGGGACGGGATGTAACAGCCGGGCGCCCAGGGGCTAGGGCCACAGCCTCACGTGGCTGAGCTTGGTTTTGTCCAGCATACCCTCGCTCTGCCGTGGCTCAAACAAAGCCATTCCCTTCCCTCCCTCCTGTCTGTGGGCCTCAGGCTGGCCCGGCCACACCAGGAGCTGTAGGGATCCTGGGCAGCGGGGCTGGGCGGCCGGCTCCGAGGCCCTGGCTGCAGCCAGAGGCTGCCCTCGGAGCCGGGAGGGAAGCCAGGTGGGCGGGGCGGAGCTGGCCCTGGCTCCCCCGTGGGCTCTGTCTGCAGACGCTGCCCTGTATCTCTGTGTGCTCAGCCATGTCCCCAGGAGGTGGCAGCGGGCTCTGTGTGAAAGAGCCCGAGAAAACAAAGTCAGCACGAGGCCCTGGACCTTCCCCGGTCCACGCTGGGACCTGCTGTGTCCCCACTGCCATCGGGCTAGATTTCCTGAGAGGAGGGGCTCTTGGTGGCCGACAGGGAGGGCGGTCGTCTGCAAGGTGAAGACCGTCCTGCTCTGCACTTCAGGAGGCCTGTGCTCGTTGGTCCCCGGGGAGCTGGGCTGGGTCTCGGCGGGAAGCCTGGCCAAGCCGGGGCCCTGTGGGGTCCGAGCAGGGCCTGGGGGTTTGGGGGTGAGAGAGTGGAGCAAGCGGGGTCTGTCTGTCTTCCTCTTGTCAGTCGTGGCTTCTTAGTGTTCCCTTATCCCCCTAGCTCACAGTACAGGGGACAGCAGGAACCTTCTTGGGCTCCCAGGGCCTCGGAATCTGGGCTCCTGTGGGTATGTGGAGGGAAGCTCTGGATCCTTGTGTGTCCCTGGGGGCATTCCAGGCCTGCTGGCCTGTCGTCTCCACCCCTTGTTCCCTGGGGTGGACATTGTGAAAGGCGCCCAGTGAGACCTTCTGGGGCAGGGCAGCTGCTCTCTGTCCATGAGGCCTGGATCTGAAGCAGACCTGTCATCTGGCTGTTTCCCCTGAAGGTGGCATACACGCCTGCACCTGCATGCTCTCCGAAGCCAGGGCCCCCTCCAGCATCCTGGTGCTCTCCGGCCTGCAGGGCCTTCATCACCTCTCTCCAGACCCCGCTTGTCCCCTCGGAGGCCCCAGCCACCCAGGACCGGCATCGCAGGCACCTCAGTGGGTGCTGAGTGGAGGAGACTTTTCTGGACTTGGCGTTGGCCAGCGAGCACCTGGGCCTCTGGCTTGTCTCCAAGTGCATGTTGTCCTTCTGTGTGAGGTGTCAGGAGGTCAGGGGTGTGGGTAGGGAGGCCCGTTTATTTTGGTTCCAGCAGGAAGAGTCAGCTGGGAGAACCAACGCCCCCCATGACCCGCCCCACTCTTGGGTGAGTCCTGCTGACCCTCCTTGTCTGGCCTTATCTCAGAGGCCGTGTGGAGACGCTGTGGTCCTGAGGCCCCACTGGGCCAGCCTCGTCCCAGCTGGGTTAACGTGTTCTACACAGGGACCTGCATCTGGCTGGTTTTCATGGGAAAAGCTGCTGAGGGCCGGTGGGGGCTCTGCTTCCTTAGCCGCTGCCTCTGCTCCGAGGAGGAAGTTATTTTTGGTGCGGGGCCTGGATGTCGTGTAGTCCAGTTGATGCTGGGAGGGTGAACACTCGGACGCCCGGGTCCCGCCTCTGCCCGCGCTGGACCCCACGGCCGAGGCAGCCATGCGGGATCTGAGCGTCCCGGAGACCATGTCCCGTGCGGTGCAGGTGCTGGAGAGCTCAGAGGAAAAAGAACATCAGCCAGAGGGCGAAGGAAAGGTTGGAGCCGGCGTTTCAGCCTCCTGACCCTCAGCAGGAAATCTCTGTGGGAAGAATTCTAAAAACAGAGATGTCACGTCCTGAGAGCTGGAAAAATCCTTTTTCATTCCCCAAACAGTCTTGTTTGTCTGAAGCTCTTATCCAGGAGGCCTCATTCGCAGGGGCAGTTGAGAGATTAGCCCATATGAGGGGAGATGTTTATTTTATCCATTTAAAATTCCCCTATAAGTCTTCGAGGCTCTGCCTTAGCGCCTGTAGATTTGGGGGGGTTTCCTCAGGTGCCCAGAGGGGCAGCCTCCGTCCTGGGGGGTCAGGAGCCAGCGTTGGGGGGAGGGAGGGAGGCTGCGGGCCCTGATCCTCTGAAAGGCCCATGTGGGTGTCAGCTCAGTGGGAAGCCCCGGGAAAGCCCACCCCACAGAGAGAAGCCATCAGGTGGCTTTTAGATGACATCCGAGGGATCCGTGTGGCCCCTGCTGGGAGCCTGCCCCTCGGCCGTCCTCTGCGGAATCCTGGCCTCCGCCTCTTTCTGCCATCCCTCCTGCCGCAGAGCCCCGTACATCCACACGAGGGGCGTGGGTCTGCCTTCTCAGACAGGCAGGCGGCATGGGGGGCTGCAGGTCAGTGCCCCTGCCCCATGCACAGGCCCTGCTGCCGTGAGAGGACTGGGGCTGGGTTCTCAGCCTGTGTTCCCACTGCCTTCCGCTGGCTGTGAACACGCTGGGTCTACGCAGGTTCCGCTCAGCAGTGGGGCCCGCCTTGTGTGTTGCTGTAGGCCTAGAGCCCTGTGGAAGAAAGAGCACAGCCAGCCCACAGCCAGCAGCCTGTTAAGAACCTCTTACTCCCCCAGAGCCGGGGCCCCTCAAGCCTCCTGATTTGCCTCTCCCCCGAGGCCCAGTGAGGCTGCGGGGAGCAGCCAGACCCTGCCAGGGTCGCCAGTGAGACCAGCACCCACATCGCAAACGAGACCCCACAGGCCCAGCTCTGGCGAGGACCCCGGGAGGTTGGGCCGGCCTCTGGCTGCCTGGTGCAGGTGGTTCTTGGGGAGTGAGCCCTGAGAGGGCTCTCCGGGCTGAGGGGCAGGAGAGCCCCTGCGCTTGAGGGAGAGGTGCTGTGAACAGCAGGTCCAGGTGTGTGCAGGGCGGGGCTCTGATGGGCTCGCACACGGTTTCCTTTCTGTTCACCCAGCAGCAGGGCGGCTGATCTTGTGCTCCCGGGAGGCCCGGCTTACTGCTTGGAACAATTTGTGGCCCGGTCAGACCCAGCGCCTCCCTCTCCGCCTGAAAGGCGATCCCCGGATGGTGGGGCCAGGCTCTGCCTTAATCAGAAGGCTGCAGGGACGGGCCCTGAGCAAACAGCACTGGGGCTGGACTGGGACGGGGCTCAGCGTGGACGCCCGTGCCACCTGCACTGGACACAGTGCTGTGGCCCCTGGCCTGCCGCTCCTTGTAATGAAGAAGTGAGGGTTCCAGAGGGTGAAGGACAAAGGGGGGCGTCCAGCATCCAGTCCCTTCCCCTGAGTGCTGGGAGGACCCCAGGCATTGATACCACATGCCTCCCCATATTCTGGAAGGCCCCCTCAGTGGGTCCACCCTGTTGGAGGCTTCTGGTTTTCGGGGCCGTTTGCCATTCTGGCCCCTTGTCCTTTACAGGAACCCCTCCAGAGGCAAAGGATCACCTGGTGTCCGCTGACACCCCCACCCTGCTGGGCAGGCCCCCCCTACCTGCCCCCCAGTCTCAGCTCCAGCCACAGCCGCCCGGCTGCTGGCCCCAGCCTGGGGAGGCCCACTCCTCAGGGCCTGTTGTTTCCAGTGCCCCGTGCAGAGCCAGGGCTCCCTCCCTCTGTGTGGCTGTTGAGGGCCTGGGGTCTCTGCTCTGGTCTAACAACACAGCGGCGTCTTCCCTACAGCCTCTCCTGGTGCTGGGAGGAAACCGGGGACATAGACGGTTGGGTTTCCCCCTTCTTGGAAAAATGTCATGATTCCATGGAGCGATGGTCTCCTTAGGAGCTTTGGCCAGGTGTTCCTTTGACCTGTGTCCTGAGTGAGAAGTGACCGGCGGGGCAGTTGCGGAGGAATCTGCTGTGGTGGGGGCAGTTGGTTTTCACAGAAAATGTATCCAGAATCTATGAGTTAATGAGCTTCTGATGTGTTGGTATCGATTTTGCATTGACATGCTTGGAAGTTTGATGCCTGCACGTCTCGGCCATGTCATCCAGCGTCTCAGGGCCCTGGGGACCCTGGGAGGGTGTGGCAGGCAGGGTCAGGGTTGGCCCCGGCTGCTCTGTGACTTTGGCTTATCACATTTTCCAAACTCAAGACTGGAGCGTCGGGCAAGTGCACTCAGGAGGTAACTGGGCCGATGTTTGAAGTCGCTCCTGTTCCGCAAGGTTTCTGCACGCACACTGAGGCCCAGCCGTCGCCCCGGTAACCGCCTGTGCTGCTGTCTCCCTGCAGGCTCGAAGGAGTCGCTGTTCTCCTGCACCCTCACGGCCAGCGAGGAGGCCATGGCGGTGCTGGAGGAGGTCATCCTGTACGCCTTCCAGCAGTGCGTGTACTATGTCTCGAAGGTACGGCACGGGGCTGCTCGTTGGAGGAATCCTCACGGCTCTCCTAGGGAAGTTTGGGGGGCCCAGGAGGGGGCGGTGAGCTTTCCCCACCCATCACCCGAGGGTTTTGACCTCTAAACTGGCCACCTCTGCCCACCTGAGCAGTTCCTCCTGCTCCTCGCTCCCTGTCACTCTTGTTGCATGAACCATCCGCCCCAACTCGGGGGCCAGCAGTGTGGGAGAGATGGAGCGGCGGCTGCTCTGGGCAAAATGACTGAGAGGTGGAATGGCTGCACGGCAGTGCCAGGCTGCGGTGGGCGACGGCTCTTCCCCTGGGCTCGCTGTCCCAGCACTCTGAGGGGGTGGGCAGCAGCGCATGGGCCCCAGACCCCGTCAGTCACTGAGCCGTGTCAGGAGTCTCAGGACTCGGGGCTGAGCGGAGGGCAGGCCTGGGGTATGAGGCAGACCCACAGCTCTGGCGCCCTCTGCAGCCTCCTGGCCTTGGCTTTCGCCTGTCCAAGCCGTGGTTTCCTCTGGACAGTGGGGTTCTGCAGTGTCCTTGGCTGAGCGGGCTGAGGGTCAGCGGGACAGTGTGCAGCAGCCCAGAGGGGGCGTCCATCGCCACAGCTGTTACTAGGGAGGGCCTGCTGGTCAACTCTATTCAGGGACAAAATGTGATGGTAACAGTCACCCTTCATTCTAAAGAGAGCCCCCAATTATGGAAGAGCCCCTCGAGGTGCCCCTTACTGATGCACCCTACAAGGCCCAGCGCTGGGAGGAGGAGTTGTCATCCATGAGGCATCGGCCTGTGGGGGGCGCTGTGGCCTTTCACCCACTCCCCACCCCACCAGCTGACCCAGAGGGACCCCAGAGGGTCACTTCTGGAGATTGATTGGCAAAAAGGCAAGCCTAGCATCCACCCAGTCGATGGCGCTGTTCCTCCCTGAGCAGGGGCGAGTGGGCCTGGGCCAGAGGGGACAGCCCCTTCCCTCGTGTTGGCACGGCCAGGGCACAGGGGTGTCCTGGGTCCCCATCCCTGCGGACCCCCGGGAAGTACCTGAGCCCGGCTGTCTTTTCGGTGGCCCACCAAAGAGGAAGGCCCGGGGGGCTTGGAGGAGCCCAGGCCGGGGGCTGGGCAGGAAGGGGTGCCTGAGGGCTCTATGGGACAGGTATGTGTCCCCCATGGGCCCTGCTGGCCATCGCGGTGACCAGAGAGGGTGTTAGAGCCACTAGGTAAGAGGAGCCACTTATCCCACCCCAGCACACGGGGGCAGGAGGGAAAGTGCAGAGAGGAGGCAGCCTGAGGCAGGCGGCCCCCAACTGGGGGAGCCTGAGGGACGTGCTAAGACTGAGAACTTGGTTGGATTGTGTGGCGGATAGTCCAGTGGGAAGGAAGAGGGTTGGATACAGCACTTTGGGGACAGTGATTGGAGAAGAAAATGACACCCTGTTTGTTCCAAATGGAGTTCAGACAGTTGAGTAAACCAGTTCTGGGGTCAGTTAACTAACTGGCTGCCTGGGGTCCTGTGTTAAGAAGGATTCTGAGGTTGCATCTTGGCTGGACAGGAAGGAGCCCCCGTCCCCTGCCCCACATGCCCGTATCTGCCCTGGGGGTCCGAGTGGGGATGTTACTGCCCTGGACAGAGCATCCCAGGGTCACTCTGTGGTGCAGTGGCCGAGAGTGACACCTTTGCTTATTTCTGCGGAGCAGCCGTTGATGCCCAGTCACCTCTGAGAAGAGTGTGGGCGCCTGTCGTTCTGCACGGAGTGTGGTCCCCTTAGGTACCTTCGACCAGACAGGTGCCTTGATCCCCAGGGTGCTGCACCCGGTTCGGCTTGGCGTGAGGGGTGCTCTTGGTGCCGGGGGCGCTGTCCCAGGGGGTCCCGTTCAACCAGACGTGGGATCTGGGAGCTCGTTAGGCCAGGAACCGCAAATGGCGCTGGTGTTTGCTCTCACCCCAGACCCTGTACGCCTGCCTCCCGGCCCTGCTGGAGTGCCCCCCTTTCCAGACGGAGCGCCGGGAGAGCTGGTGCTCGGCCCCCCAGCTGCCCGAGGAGCTGGGGCGCGTCGTGTCTGTCTACCAGGCCGCCCTGGACCTCCTGCGGCAGTTCCAGGTGCACCCCGAGATCGCCTCCCAGGTGCTGGCCTACCTCTTCTTCTTCTCCAGCACTCTGCTCTTCAACCAGCTCCTGGACAAGGGTGAGGGGCCTGGGGGGCCGGGGACCCGCATTCCTTCAGGAAATGCCCAGCGTGTCCTCCCTGGAGGCCAGCGGGCCGAGCCCTCAGAGACGCCTCCTGAGGACGGCTCTGCCAGGGTCAGGGCCTCTTGCTCCGTGGGGGTCTGGGCTGGTGCGGTGGCGGGAAGGCAGGCAGGAGATGTTGCAGAGTGGATCCCCGCAGGAGCAGGAGCCGAGAGGCCCCAGGGTAGGGTGGGGGTGGGGTCTGTGTCCTCTGAAGGCCCGTTTTATCCCCACACAGCCCCACAGGCCCTGTGAGAGGGGAGGGAACAGGCTCAGGGAAGTGACGTGACCTTTGACCCTGACCTTGCTGTGCCCGGTGCTCCTCATTGCAGACCCTCCTCCATCACCCTGCCCCCGGGCTCAGGGCGCCAGTTACTTCCAGCCAGGGGCACTGCTGGGGCACAGGGAGAAGAGAGTGGGGACGAGCCCACAGCACATGCATGTCACCAGCGTGGACTTCCCAGGCTGTGGGGGTCCGCAGGGCGGGATGGGGTGGGAGCAAGGGGTCTTGGCTGTAGGCCTGGACCACGTCCCTTTGCTCTTGGGATCCAGTGGCTGTCACAGCCCCTCCCTGCCCTGCCACCTTCACCTCTTGTGTCTGTCCTCATAGGCCTGGAGCTGGGGGAGGGCAGGCGCTGGGGGCCAGCTGGGGCCTGGCTCCCTCTGGGGGAGGGCGGGCAGCATCCCTGCTCTGCGAGGAGCAGCCGGGGCATTGCCTTCCCTCCCTCCCCAGGTCCCTCTCTGAGTTGCTTCCACTGGCCCAGAGGCGTCCAGGCCTGCGCCCGCCTGCAGCAGCTCTTGGAGTGGATGAGGAGCACTGGCTTTGGGGAGGCCGGAGAGCACTTCTTCCGGAAGCTTTCCTGCACACTCAACCTGCTGGCCACGCCCAGTGCCCAGCTCATCCAGGTAGGAGGGGAAGACCCACCAAGTGCAGTGGGGTGCAGGGTCTGGGGGCCACGTGTTGTCACTCTTGGGTCACCAGCTTACAAACCAGCCCGGGGGGGACCTGGCTTCTGGGCCTCAGAGAACTTGCAGAGTTGCTTCCATTCCACAGCCATCCCCACCTGTGGACAGGGTAATGGCCCCAAAGTTGTCTGTGTCTAGTCCCTGACCTGCGACTGTATGAGCACAGGGGGCTCTGCAGATGTGGTTAAAGTTGAGGCCCCTGAGACGAAGAGATTGCCCTGGGTGACCCTGTGGGCCCAGTGTAATCACGAGTCCTTAAGAGTGGAGGAGGGGTCAGAGAGACAGGACAGTAGAAGAAAGAGGGCTGAACCCGCCATTGCTGGCTCTGAACATGGAGGGAGGGGCCATGGACCAAGGAGTGTAGTGGCCTCCAGAAGCCACGAGCAGCCCTCAGCTGAAGGCCAGCATGGACACAGGGACCTTGGTCTTACAACCACAAGGAAATGAATTCTGACAACCCACCTGAGCCAAGAAACGGATCCTGCCCTGGAGCCCCCAGAAGGAGCGCAGCCCTGCCCACACCTCGATTTTAGCCCCATGCGACCATGCTGGATGGCTGACCCCCAGAGCTGTAAGATTATACATTTGTGTTTCTCTAACTGCTAAGTTTGTGGTCATTTGTACAACAGCAACAGGAGACTAACGCACCGCCTCCCTCCTCCCTCACCGGCTGCCTCACAGACACAGTCCTCACAGACAGTCAACCAGTGGTGATCCTTTCCTGCCCGGGATAGACACAGAACAAGCCCCAGGAATGAGGGTGACAGTGTCTGCAGGGCAGCCCAGGATGAAGTCTGGGCTGAGGGGGAGCCACGGGGGCTGTTCTGCTGCTGCTGCCTTTCCTGTGGGGCATTTGCCTCATCGTGGGCAGCATCTGTATGAGGCTGAGAATCCAGGCTTTGTCCAGGTAGGGGCCAGAGCAGGAGGAGAGAGCCCACACAGAGACACACGTGAGATACTTGAGGGGCCTGAGGTGCATGGTGGTTTTCCCCTCGTGACATGTGCCAAAATTCTGAAGCTCCGGGGTGTGGGGTGGGAAGGGCTTTAATACTAAGCAAAAATCTCTGAAAAGCAGAGTGGAACTGTGGGAGTCTCACAATGCTGAGGAGCAAATATTAGCATTCAGGACCCCTGAGGGAGTAAGCACCAGGCTCTCAGTTGCAACCCTGGTGTGAGCGTCAAGCAGAGGCCAAGCTGCCCAGCCCAGCCCAGCTCAGCCCCCACTGGATCCAGGTGGTCAGTGGCGAGGAAGATGCACACCACCAAAGCCTGTGGGTGCAGCTAAGGCAGTGCTAAGAGGAAAAGTTATAGCCTTAAGTGTATCTGTTAGAACAAATGGAAGGCTGAGGATGATGGTTGTGAAGCAAGAAAAAGAAAAGCAAAAACGGCAAATCAAACCCAAAGAAAGTAGGAGGAAGGAAATAATAGAGAAGAGCCAAAATCAATGAAACCTTAACAAACACACAACAGAGAAAAGCAAAAAGCCAGGAGTTGGTTCTTTGGAAAGTTATTTGAACAGTTGAATAAAAGTTTAAAAAAAGCAATAGAGCCAGGAGTTGGTTCTCTGAAAAGTTTAATAAAGTGGGAAACACTAACTGCCATATCAAAAACGAAGAAGGGGACATTATTCAGATCCTACATTAAAAATTAATAGTAATAATTTTATCTCAATAAAACTGGGGGAAAATTTTTAAAAAATTAATAGTAAGAGGATATTATAACCAACTTTATGCTGATAAATTTGACAATTTAGATGAAACAAATAAGACAAAGAACACTTATTAAAGTTGATACAAGAGGAAATAGAAAATCGGAATTGTCCCGTATCTCATAAAGAAACTGAATCTGTTATTTAAAAACCTTCCCACAAAGAAGATTCAAGGTCCAGGGCCCGCCCCGTGGCTTAGCGGTTAAGTGCGCGTGCTCTGCTACTGGCGGCCTGGGTTCGGATCCCGGGCGTGCACCCACGCACCGCTTCTCCGGCCGTGCTGAGGCCACGTCCCACATACAGCAACTAGAAGGATGTGCAGCTATGACATACAACTATCTACTGGGGCTTTGGGGAAAAAAATGGAGGAGGATTGGCAATAGATGTTAGCTCAGAGCCCGTCTTCCTCAGCAAAAAGAGGAGGATTAGCATGGATGTTAGCTCAGGGCTGATCTTCCTCACAAAAAAAAGAAAAAAAAGATTCAAGGTCCAGATGGTTTCATTCGTGAATTACTTTAAACATCAGAAGAAGAAATAAAACCATTATTACCCAGATTCTTCCAGAAACTAGGAAAAGAGGAAATCCCATCTCATTTTAAAACACCAGCACATGGGATGGCCCCGTGGCTTAGTGGTTAAGTGCGCGCGCTCCGCTGCTGGCGGCCCGGGTTCGGATCCCGGGGGTACACTGATGCACCGCTTCTCTGGCCATGCTGAGGCCGCGTCCCACATACAGCAACTAGAAGGATGTGCAACTATGACATACAACTATCTACTGGGGCTTTGGGGGAAAAATAAATAAATAAAATTATTTTAAAAAAATAAAATAAAATAAAAAATAAAACACCAGCACAACCTTGATACCAAAACCTGAAAAGGGATCATAAGAAAGGGAAATTACACATGAAAGATGAGCGACTTCATTTGTGATCAGAGAAATGTCTTTTAAAACCAGTGTTTTTGACACCAAATGCCTCCGAATGGTTAAAATGAGAAAAGCCGGCCCCAGGCCCCGCTGAGGAGGATGGAGGTGTGAGCCCTCGCAGGGGCCCTTGGGCCGCGCTGGGGGAGGTGGTGGGCCGTGCCTGCTGGAGCCGACCACAGGCACATGCCCCCATCTGGCAGTTCTCCTGGTAGGCACGTTTCCGTCTGCACTTGACAGCAGACAGGGATGGCACGGCGGCACCGTGCGCAACAGCCCCAAACTGCCAGCAGGCCCCGCTCAGCAGCAGCAGCAGAGTGGGCAGACGCAGTGTGGACACTCATCCCCAGGACATGCTGCACAGCAGCGAGCCTGCGCCGGCCACCGCCAGAGGCGACTGCAGGCGAGCGTGCGGTACAGTGTCGAGCTAAGTCGGGCTCAGAGGGGCACGTGCTGGGGTGCCCGTGGTCCAAGGTCAGCCCGGCAGAGCCTGTGCGCTGCTGGAAGTCAGGACGAGCCTGCCCGGCAGAGGAGCCTGCCCTGCGGAGCCGGAGGGCCACTGGGGCTTCCATGGCGCTGCCTCGCGGGCTCTGCCCCTGTCCCGGGCTGGGCACACAGGCGGTGCCCTTGGTGAACAGTTGTTGAGCTGTGCACTCTGGATTTGTGTAGTTTTCTGGGTGTTTGTTGTGCGTCGATACAGAAGGCACAGGAAAGGGAGGAACAGCAGCGGCAGGTCTCAGCTGCCCCCTTCCTGCGCAGCTGGATGCCGGCCCCCTCCTCCCCCCAGCAGGGGACCGGGGTTTGTTTCTAGAGCCTTTAAAACAAAGGGTCTCCTGGCTGGGAAACCAGGATTTCATCCTGAAAAGGGGGCTTCCTGGTGGCGAGGCCCCCACTGAGCGCTGGAGGGGCTGCGCTCTCGCCCAGCGTGGCTCAGGCCTGTGCCCTCCAAGTAGGAGGCGGCTGACTCGGCTCGCCTGGCAATCAGGGACAGCCCGGGGGAGGACGGAGGATGCTGAAGCTGGGGCTCCACGGTGATCCAGCCAGGCCAGCGTGAGCTGAGTGGGCCGGGGTGGCCAGGCTGGCGCTCAAGCCGGGCGTCACCAGGCAGACTTGGCCCCCACTCTACCACAGGGTGGGCGGCTCTGAACACGATAAACGGGTGGGGCTGAGACTGGGGGAGACACATCGGAGTCGGCAGCCTTCTCTGTACCTGGCCAGGTAGTAACTGTTTTAGGCTGCGGGCCCCATATGGTCTCCGTGCCAACTTCTTCCTTTTTTAAAGCCCTTTGAAAATGTGAAAACCATTCTTAGCCTGAGGGCCCTGTAAAACAGCCTTCAGGCCATAGTTTGCCATCCCCTGAAACACACTATTCAGGGCGAAGAAACTTCAAAAAAAAGACATTTCTATCCTCATAAAGATAAGATAATTTCCATTAAGTAATCACGGGATTCTATAAATGAGAGAACAAAAAGAATTCTTGGAAATTAAAACTATGACCAGAGATGGCAAATTCAATAGCAGGGTTGGAAGATAGTCAGGGAATCTCCCAGAAAGAAAGGAGATGGTGAGATGGAAGTGGGAGGCGCTGGGATCGCTGGCGCCCTCCCAACACCCGCCCTGGAGACGTGGGGGAAGCAAGGATTCTAGGACCTGGAAAAATCGCAAAGAACCTCCTCCCGGCAAACACGGCTTCCTGAGCTGGTGTGTTGCCGGCGGGGGGCGGGGGGCTCTGTGGCTGCCCTCGCCCCTCCGCCACACAGCCTTAAGGTGATTGTCCCTCCAGTGTAGACGCGTGATAACCACAGCCCCGGCCTCTTGATGTTGGCAGTGAAATCAAATGAGGGAGAAATGAAAGAGAGAAAGAAAGGCAGGGATCTTAAAGGACCAGTCAGTGAGGCCCCACATCCCAGTAGTAGGAGCCTAGGGGGAGCAGAGGAAACGGTGGCCGGGGGTGAAGATAAACCAGACCATCCCAGACCCGCACAGCCTGAGCTTCTGGACGTAAGTGCAGCCAACGGGGGAAAAAGCACAGCGGCTGAAACTGAGTCCCACCAAGACCCAGCCTCGCAGACTCTCAGGGCAGAGGACACAGAGCAGCCCATGAGCCTCTGGAGAAGAATGAAACAAGACACAGCCCGAGGACTCGAGAGCGACGCGGCAAGCTGGAAGACAGAGGAGCCGCCTTCCGTCATCCGAGCCAGTCGGACTCCGGTCTGCAGGTGTGGACTGGCCGAGTCCTCACGGAGGGAAAGCAGAGTGCGGATGCCTCCCACATGCGAGGTCCACACTGTTCCTCTGGTGCACCTGTTTCAGGAAGCCGCTAGAGGATGTGTCTCTCAGAAATGAGGGGGTAAGCCGAGAGAGCAGGAGAAAGGGGTTCCAGAACACAGGAGCGGAGAGGGGATCCCAGGGTGACAGGGATGCAGTCGCAGGGTGACCTCACAAGTGGTTTAATGATCAGCATCCACCCTTGTCCTTAGGGCTTGCGCTGTCTTATTTAGGGAAGCTTCCCGTACCCTGAGCCCATGAAGCTGGGCTCGTGTGTCACCTGAGTGACGGAGTTCTGGCCTCCCTGCAGGTCTCGAGCTGGCTAGGTTCTTTTCCGGGTGTGAGGCTGGGATCCTGTTTCACTCTCCCTGCTTCCCAGAGTCTCTTCCCTCTTTTCGCGGCCACCAGAGGTGATATGATGAGGGGTGTGTTCAGTAGACCAGGCACTTGGCGTGGTGCCTGCTGGCTTCTCCTGGGAACGGCCGCCCCACGCCGCTCTCACCTGGACACCCACAAGGCAGCGGGGGGTGAGCTGCCACTGTGGGGCGGCCCTGCTGCACCCACCTTTGACCCCCTCATTGGCCTGACTGTCCTGCACCGACGCCAGGGGCCTGTGTGCTGGCCTGGGGCATGTGGCCGGAGAGTCCCGGACCTCTGCTTCTGTCCCAGAGCACCCAGAAGGCAGGCCCTCCCTGAGGGTGGGGCTGAGCCATCCGGGGCCTTTGACCATGAGCTGCTTCTTGTCACCCAGATGAGCTGGGCAAACCTGCGGGCCACATTCCCCGCCCTGAGCCCTGCACAGCTGCACCGGCTGCTGACTCAGTACCAGCTGGCCTCGGCCATGGGCCCCATGAGTGCCTGGGAGCCAGGCGCCCAGGACAGCCCCGACGCCTTCAAGTCAGGTGAGCCCCCTCCTCAGGGGCAGGAGCACAGGACCCTGTGGGCCAGGCCTGGGGCACGGGGAGCCTTGGGGGGATTTCCCTGGAGGAGCCCGCAGAGCATCTGGTACCTCCACCCTGGGCCATCTTTCTCCTTGGGTGCACTGCCCTGTCCCCGACCTGGGGACCTGCAGACCTCCACAGCTGGGGGTCAAGGAGCCCACTGTTCGTGGCCAAGTTCCAAGCTGCAAGCTCAGATCAGAGGTCCCCCCTGCCCCTCACGGAGCCTGAGGACGGGGCCTCACCCAGGGCATGGCCCACCAGGAAGAGAGCAGGATCTCCACGCTGGGCGCTGTCGCACAGCCTGAGCACGCTTGCCATGTGTGTACACACACACGGTACATATGGATGTGTACGGACATATACATGTGGGTGTTTTTTGTGTTAGACACACATCTCCCTGTGTTAGCATTATGTATATTATAACAAAATTGAAAAGTAAAGGGTCGTAGAAGACGCAGATAGAACCAGGGCTTTGAACGCCATCTTCGCGTGCCCTGGTTCGAACGCCATCTTCGCGTGCCCTGGTCACCTGGGGGCTTGGCTGGGACGTAGACACCGCCTCTGAGCAGGGCTCCAGGCTCCACCGGACACTGCTGGCCTCTCCCCACTTACGGGGTCATTTCCGAGGCCTGCGCGGGGCCGGCTCTGTGCTGGGAGCTGAGGCCGCAGTGTGGGCACCAGTCCTCCTGCCGTCTGGAAGGGGCTCGTGTTCTAGTGCAGAGACCCACGTGCAGATGGGCCGTGTGACCCGTGAGGGGACATAGGCAGCATGGGCCCTGGGAGGAGCAGGCATCCGCTCGGGGGTGCGGACATTCCGGCTGAGCAAGCAGGAGTTGCGGATGGGGCACAAAGCTCCAGACAGCGGGGCCTTGGGCTTCGTCCAGGGTGGTCACTGGGATTCAGAAGGGACGAGGGGATGGTTTTGGTGGTCGCCCTGGCCTGGATCCCCTGCATCTTCTTGGTGGGTCAGTGTGCTTGTCCCTGGGTTCCCACGGCAGGCGGGGGTGGCTGGCCAGCTACCTCCAGGCCAGGCACTCAGGTTGTCCTCCCCACACCCACAGAGGATGTCCTGGAGTCCTATGAAAACCCGCCGCCCATCGTTTTGCCAAGCGAGGGTTTCCAGGTGGATCTGGAAGCCGACTGCCTGGACGACAGCATCTACCAGCACCTTCTCTACATCCGCCACTTTCTGTGGAGCCTGCGGAGCAAGCCCGGCCCTGGCGGGGGACCCGCCCAGCCGGAGTGCCTTGAGGTACCCGGGTGAGCTGGTCACCGGGTGGACTAGGCACTGCTTCGTGCTCGGGGTCTGGCTGCCACCCTGGGGGAGAAGCGGAGTGAGGGCTCCAGCGGCTCAGGCTCGGCTGCAGACGGCTGGGGTCCCCGGTTCCCCTACCTTCCAGAAGGCTGCTGCCTGAGCCTTCCTCCCTCTCCCCACCAGGGCCTGCACCACACCACCCCTGAGGGGCACCCCGAGGGCCAGAGCTGCCCCCTGGCTTCCCGGGACCTCGGAAGGGGAGCCCAGGATGCCGGTCTGGCGCACCCACTTCCTTCCGATGGGGCTCCCCGGGCACAGGGCCCTCCAGGAAGGCAGCCGGGCCGCGTGAGCCGTGGGGTCCCCCAGGCCGGCCCCCTGCATGTGGACTCCTCGTGCCTGCTCACGCCTCCCAGCACCCCGCTAGGCCTTGAGCCCACTGTCCCCGACTGGCCAGAACCCGGCGGTGGCACCTGTGGGCATTCGCCCCTCGAACGGAGGAGGAATGGGCCAAGTGGCTCCTGGAGTGCTGCTCTGGAAGGTGAGACCTGTCCCTAGGCCTACACCTGCACCCCAGCCCCCAGCCCCTGCTAGCACTGGACAGGTCCCTCTGGGTCATTCCATCTGTGGGGTCCTGGTGCACATTCAGCCTGGGCTTCTAGTACCTGCCACGAATGCCTGCAGCCCTGAACGCTGGAGAGGCTGCAGAGCAGACGGGGAGGGCGCAGGGCGGCTCAGGCCTGGGTGGGTGGCAGGCAGCTGCGTCACGCTCAGCCATCTGTGGGACAGGAGAATCGCTCCGCATGGGGTAGAGGAAGGGGTGGCCCGGATGATGTGCCTTGGGATGTGAGGTCAGGGATCGGCGGGTGGGGTGGGGGGGCCGGCGGGCGGCAACCGGAGCCCTCGGAGGTGAGGGTGGGAGTCAGGGCATGCGTGTGCATGAACACGGTGCGTGTGTGTTGGTGCGTGTCTCTCGTGTGTGCACGTGTAGCTGGACGGGCTGGAAGGGCAGCAAAGGGCAAAGCAGCCCCGGCCCGCCCGCCCCGGGCGAGGAACTCAGCAGTGCGTCCTGAGCCCTGCGTCCTCAGTGCTCCTGCAGGCGGGGGTCAGCTCGGCAGGGTACCTACTCAGGTGTGCTGGGACTGGCCTCTGAGAGCTGGTAGGAGGTGGCTCCAGACCAGACGGGGCTCTGCCTGAAGCCCTGAGCAGAGCCCGCTTCTCAGCCCCCTGGAAACAGCCAGCCTGTCCTGGGGCAGCCACAGGGGGGACGGAGGTGCCCCTGGGCGCATGAGGGTGTCACGCACAGATGGGCCCGACCCATCACTTCTTCTGCCCCAACCAGCACCTTGCTGGGGCTACGAGAGCACTTTTTCCTCCGGAGCAGCAGCCTAGCGGGGACGTCCCTGGGTCCTGACTCCCCGGACAGGCGCGGGCACCAGCCGCTGCAGCAGGATCTCACCCTGACCGCTGTACTGTTTCTTGCCACCCAGGAGGCTGTGCGGCGCCTGCGGATGAGCCCCCTCCAGTCCCCTCCAGCCACAGCTCCAGCACCGACTTCTGCTACGTCTTCATGGTGGAGCTGGAGCGAGGCCCCTCAGGGCTGGGGATGGGCCTGATCGACGGCATGGTGAGTGCCCCGGCTCCCTACTCCCTGCAGGCCCCGTCTCGCCCTTTCCACCAAACACAGGCCCACAGCTTGTGTGGTCACCGGGGGAGGACGGTGAGGGAGGCCCATTGAGGGCTTGGGACTGGGGCTTGGGGGGGCATCTCTGTGGAATTTGAGAGAAGGGAAAGGCCCCTGGCAGCAGCCGCTTCCCCCAGCCTGCTGTCACCACCTCCATCCTCAGACCTCGGGGTATCTGTCCTGGGCCTGTGGGGACAGTGGTGGTGTCCAGTGCTGTCCTTGCTGATGACCATATAAGTGAGCCCTGCCTGGGCCAGGCCGGGCCTCTCGGCTGAGGGAGGGGCTGAGGTGGCCCTTGCTGGGGGCGCCCGCGTGTCCTGAGGCCTCTGCTTCTCCCCAGCACACACCCCTGGGGGCCCCGGGGCTCTACATCCAGACCCTGCTCCCAGGCAGCCCTGCAGCGGCCGACGGCCGCCTGTCTCTGGGAGACCGCATCCTGGAGGTGAACGGCAGCAGCCTGATGGGCGTCAGCTACCTGAGGTACCCTCCGCCCTGGCACCCAGCCTGTGCGGGTCAGCCCGAGGCAGGGCTGCTGCAGGACAGGCCTCGCTCGCTCCTGCCCACCCCGTGAGCGCGTCCGGGCACTACCCATTTTAGAGATGAGGAAGGGGAGGCACGGCCCTCCAGCCCGGCTCCCTGTGGCCACCAGTCTCCCTTCCCTCCCCTCATTCCGGGGTGGGGGGAGTGGGGGCTCTGGACTGGCAGCACAGGCTGCACCTCGTGGCTCTGTGGTCCCTGACGCTCGGTCACAGCTCAGGGTGCTCAGGGTTGCTGGCTCTAAGCTAGTCTCCTGTAGGAGCACCACACCCGCTCCTGGAGGGAGGGAAGCACGTGATGGCCAGGCCCTCACACACAGCCCTGTCCACTTGGGGCGACAGCTGGGGTGGAGCGTTGGGTTCCCCTCCCGGGGACCTCCCCCGCCCTGCGGCTGGACCCGCACCACGTGAGCTCTTCTATGCCGCCCTCATCCCCTTCACTGGGTTTCAGGGCTGTGGATCTGATCCGACATGGGGGAAAGAAGATGCGGTTTCTGGTTGCCAAGTCTGACGTGGAAACAGCCAAGAAGATCCGCTTCCGCACGCCCCCTCCCTAGGGTGGGCCCCCTACACACTGGCACCCTGAGGTTTGGCAGGTCCCACCACCTTCCTCCAAGTCGGTCCGCGTGGTGCGTCACCTTCAGGACACGAGCCGCTTCTCTGCCTGTGGATAGTGTACATCTCAGTGTATATTTTATTTATATGACAGACGACAGTCGTTTGTTGTTTGTTACAGAGCTTTATGTTTGGAGATTTTAATGGAGAAGCATAGATTCAATAAACTATCTTTCACATTCTTAGAGAGTGGTGGCGCCATGCCGGCTCCCCGAGGGCCCAGAGGGGCTGCGGGGGCTCTGGGGGCCCTGCTCCCCTGCTGGCCAGGGCAGGAGAGATGCTCGGAGGATGGGAGGGTCATTGTAATGGAGCCAAGGGCTGCTTGGGACACCCCAGGCAGCCCCCAGCTCCCAGGAAAAGGGCTATAGCCTCAGTCAGAGTGTAGTTTGCTCTTAGTGATCACGTGCTCAACATAGTCCTAAGAGAGAGTCTAGAAACCCCCAGAAGGTTATACAGTGAGAGTCTGGACCCACCCTGGTCCCCAGGCCTCACACCCCTCCTGATTGCCTCTCTGATCACTAAAGCTGCAGCTTGGCCCTAATACCAGGCCGGCCGGCCCTAGGCTCTTAATCTGCAGCCCCGGCTGGTGTCCACCTGGTGGCTGTCCCTTCACCCTGGCAGGAGGCCCGCCTCCTTCCCCGTCAGCCAGCTGGCCGTGCGCAGGGCCAGGAGCAGGGCCGTGTTGGCGTCACAGTGACGGCAGGGCTCAGACACCTCCACCCTGGGCATCTTCAGCTCTGTGACTCACGTGAGGATGGTGCCCTCATTCTCCTCACAGTGCACATAGCTCATAGCCAGGTTCTGGACCAGGGTTCTCATCTTTGACATGAAAAGAGAGACCCTGGGGACAAGGGGGTCCCAGCCAGTCAGCTGCAGACACACTTCTCATATGGAAAGGGTCCCCTGGAGGCAGGACTCGGAGGCCTCCGAGGTCTGTCCCAACCCGCGGGTCTCATGTAGCTCCACGCTGCCCCCTGGTGGCACACAAGAGGCACGTGTGGGTCTGCCCTGGGCCTTTGCTGTGGTTCAATGTGAGGCACCAGAATTCCGCCACCTTGAAGGGGCCCCCACCACCGAGTTCCCAAAATGCTGGATAAAATGTATTTTTAAAAAAGTCATTTTTGGGCCGGCCCCGTGGCTTAGCGGTTAAGTGCGCACGCCCCGCTGCTGGCGGCCTGGGTTCGATCCCTGGCGTGCACCGACGCACCGCTTCTCCTAGAAGGATGTGCAGCTATGACATACAACTATCTACTGGGGCTTTGGGGAAAATAAATAAAATAAATAAATAAAATTATAAAAAAAAAAAAAGTCATTTTTTTTAAAGTTGCCTTTCAATTGAGTCAGCCACTTTTTTTGGGTGTGTAAGGAAGATTAGCCCTGAGCTAACATCTGTTGCCAATCCTCCTCTTTTTGCTGCGGAAGATTCGCCCTGGGCTAACATCCGTGCCCATCTTCCTCTACTTTATATGTGGGACACCTGCCACAGCATGGCTTGACAAGCAGTGGGTAGGTCCGCACCCGGGATCTGAACCTGCGAACCCTGGGCCGTCAAGGTGGAGCACATGAACATAACCACTACACCATTGGGCTGGCCCCTAAAAAGTCATTTAAATGTGTGATTGAACCCAAAAGAAAAGAAATCCTTGGACCCCAACATTGAAAAGAGTGAGTTCAGAGAGGCTGGCAGTTGGCCGGAGGCCTGTGGAATTACAGGTCTCAATTCTCCACTCCTCTGCGGTGTGGAGGTGACAGAACCTCGGCCATCCCAAGCTGTGGGCCAAATGGGGGACCCCGTAACTCCAGAGCTCCCGAAGGGCTGGGCCCCTGAGAAAGGGGAACTAACCAGAGTCACATGTGTGCAGAGCCTGTATGCCGAGCACGCCCGGCACTTCACAAGTGTTAGCACATTCAATGTTCTCACAGTTCTTTGTGGTGGGTGCCGTTACTGTCCCGGTGTTTCAGATGAGGACACGAGCAGGGAGACTGTGGTCTTCTCTATCAGTCAGCATGGCCCTAATAACGCTGAGAGAAAAAACCATGCAACTCGGTGTCTGAAAAACAACAGTCATTTACTCTCGCTCAGCCAGGCTGGAACTGGCTCCGCGCTCCAGGGGGATCCAGGCCTGCTCTCTGTGCCCCCAGCCTCGTGGACCCACAGACTGGCTGGGGCACGTTCTCACAGCAATGGCAGGAGGGCAAGCCTGCCTCCGAGCACACGTCCAGCCTGTGGCGTCTGCTGCCCTCCTGACGGCCAAGCCCACGGTCAGTGCGCGGGAGGCCCGCTCCCCCGCTGGATGGCGCACAGCAGGGGTGTGGATGGTACCGTGCCCCTGCGCGGGAGCATGGAGACCCACGATTCCCTCTTGCTCTTGGTAGGATTCAACTACACAGGGTTTGAACTTGGGTAGTTTGACTCTAGACCGAAAGTCGACCCTCACAGGAAACAGGAAGGGAATGTTTCCGGATGGCCTTGGCTCTGCACGAAGCCGGAAGAACAGGGTCCCCTCAAAATCGGTCCACAAACGAGTTCTGACACAGGCTTGGGACCCAACTTACAATCTCCAGATGATGTGACAACAGCCCGAGCTAAGCTTAATTGAGAGTAGCCCCCCAGGGATCTGGCACAAGCGATAGGGAATTTTCTCTAGATGAACACACTCACCCTTGGACTCCAGTCCCAAGGGCCGAGCAGGGTCGGGGTGGGCTGGGGTCCGGGCGTCCGAGGCGCGCGGCGCAACCGAGGGGCGGCGCGGGGGCTCGCAGGGCCGGCTTGGCCCATCTCGGGAGGGTCAGGGGTCCTTTGGTGCTGCCCACCTCAACGCCCCCTACTCGGCTCCGCGTGTGCGTCACCTGGGCAGAGCATGGGCGACACTCCCCGCCAGGCCGGCCCAGTGGCCTCCTCCGTGGCTGCCGTTTCTCGTTTCTCGGGACGTTGGAGGGGGAAACCGCACGGGGGAGGGGCGCGGCGGAGCAGCAGCACCACCTGGTGGTAGGGCCGGTCACCGCGCCGGGCAGCGCTGGTCTACAGGCAGGAAGCAGACCTGAATGGACCAGTGGACGGCAGCGCTGGGGCTGGGGCTGGGGGTACATTTCTTGCCCTTCCAGACGCAGCGGGTCTCCCCTGCCTGGATAATATCAAAGCGACCCGGCTTTGCTCTGGGTAAGGCTCGCGGGGGCGGGTGTCAGGGTCGCCAGGAGCCAACAGGGGGAGCACCCTGCTTGGTTGGCCTGCCTTCTCTCCTAATGGCAGGAGGCTCCAGGCCACCCCACAGGGCCCAGAGCCCCAGGCTGCCCATCTTCAGGGCCTTCAGGAGCACAAGGTGGACTGAAAAAGGCCACTGATGGAATGCATGTTCCCAGGGGCAGTGGTCAGCTCTGGGAGACACACTCTTCCTTCCTGAACACATACATAGTGATCTGTCACTTCTGGAACATCTGGGACACTGGGGCTGGACTGGGTTCGGCCCTTTACACGTTGCCACCGAGTGGGAAGGCACAGCTGCTGGTGTCTGGCCCGGTGGGGCAAGGGCCCCTTATGTCCCCACGGCCTGCTATCCTGGCCCAGCAGCACTAGGGGGCTGCCCGCTGGGCTCCCCCACCCCCGGCCCTCTCCCCTGGGCGGAGGGAAAGGGAATAGACCCTGCCTGGTTCACACAGATACTTGTTAAAGGGGTTTATTTTTGCCATACCTGTTCTGACCCCTAACTGCCCCCAAACAAGGACCAGCAGGGCACAGAGCAGGCAGCTCCCGTCCAGCCCCAAAGTGGCTAAGCCACGAGTCACAGCTGTCCCACCACACAGCTCAGCATGTCCCGGGAGAAAGGCTTGAGAGAGACAAACACCCAAAGGGTGTGAACGTGAAGCCCTGCCCAGCGTGAGGGGCCGAGAGCCCCCGGGGCTCCTCCCTGGGACTCACGCCCTCCTCACTTCCTCTCTGATCACTAAGCCGAGGCTTGACCCTAATACAGGCTCTTAATCCTGGTGGCCGTCCCTTCACCCCGGCAGGAGGCCCGCCTCCCTCTCCGCCAGCCAGCTGACCGTGCGCAGGGCCAGGGGCAGGGCCGTGTTGGTGTCGCGGTGATAGCGGGGCTCGGACACCTCTGCGCTGGGTGTGAGCACAAACTGCGCCACGCTGGGCATCTTCAACAGGTTCAGCAGCTCGGTGGCCCGCGTGCGGACGGCGTCCGCATCCTCCTCACAGTGCAGGGAGCTCGTGGCCGGGCTCTGGGCCAGCGTCCTCATCTTTGACAGGAACAGAGAGACCCTGGGGACAAGAGAGTCCCAGCCAGTCAGCTGCAGGTGCACCCCTCACGTGGAAAGGGGTCTCGTGGAGGGGCCCAGCCCCCGAGGCACCCAGCTAGGGTGGCCTTAGCTCAGAGAAATGGGGCGGCAGTGCCGACAGCCCCGGCCGCCTGCACCCAACCAGAACCGCGTGCCGCTGACCCTGCGTCCAGACACCCGGACAGGGTCACACAGGGCAGACTCCGGAGCCACTGTGCTCTCCCCGTGGGAAGCCCACAGGTTCCCCCTCCCACCCCTAACCAGTACCTGGGGATCAGGTCCTGGCTCCGGGAGGCCAGCTTGGTCAGCGTGGTCATGAGCACGGTGATGACCTGGGGTGGACACTTGGGCAGGGCAGCAGAGGGGCGGGACTGGGTGACCTCGAACAGCAAGGCCTCCAGGCCTTCAAAGAACTTGTTGATCTGCTCCACAGTGCACCGCCGGTCCCAGGACACCGACAGGTACTCGCCAATGGCCCACACCTGGAGGGGCATGGCGCCTCAGCCCCCATCCCGGCGCTCGGGTGTCGGGAGAGGGACGGGCGGTGCGTGGGCTAGCCTTACCACGGCGGTCAGCATGCTCCCCGGGCCGCAGATGCCGCTCCCGCTCCCCACAAATTCCAGGAGCTCCTTCGCCAGCTCGACCACCAGGGAGGGGTGCAGCTTGCACAGGACCAGGAACTGGGAGCTCAGCACCCTGCCAGAGAGGGCGCTCGCGGGCTGCGGCTGGCCCCTCGCCACCCCAGACCCATGGTCCCCCATCTAGCGCCAGAGCCAGGGGTGGACGGGAAAGCCTCTGAGCACCAGCTGAGGTAAAGACAGTCTGGCCCCTAAAGGAACCTATCGCCCCCTGGGGAGGAGACTGGGACCGGCTCTGGTCCTTGGTCCAGGGCTTGAGAGGGGAGCGGGGACAAGCCTGCAGGTATCCGGCCCGCAGAAAGGGGCACAGTCAGTCTGGAAACCACTGTGGAAGAGGGACTTGGGCCAGCGCTGAAGATAGCTTGGGAGAGGAGGGAAGGACACGGGAACATTCTGGATTGGGGACAGAGGGGTCTGTGCAGCGACACAGGAAGCACTGGGCTGGGCCTGGGGATGACACCAGAGAGCAGGATGTGAGCTGCTGAGGGCAGCCCGGAAGAAGGGCCGAGGGCACCGTAGCGACCGAAGGGAGAAAGTGGGGGCTCGAAGCTGTGCCGAGCCAAGTGTGGGCTCAGTGAAACCTCTGGGCCTGGGGCCGTCGTGCTGCAGGAGGGAGGAGGCCTCGCAGGACGACAGGAGGGACCCACCTGTGCACGCGGGCTTCGTACTGCGGGACCTGGTAGAGCGAGTTGCTCCTCTCCAAGAGCAGCAGCGCCAGCTGGTTGGTCAGAGCCCCGTCGGCAAACTGGGGCCAGAGCGAGAGGCGAGGCAGGCTCAGTCCAGCCCAGCCGACACCACCTTCGGCCACACCTACTCTGGTCCCGGCTGTGTCTGCCCACCCGGGGGCCACTCACACGCCCCTGTTCTGGGGGGGTGGGGGCAGCTGGAGGGAGGGACAGGACCCTAGCCAGGGCTGCCATGTGCAGCCCTTTCCCCTGGGACTCTCAGGGATCCTCAGCAGGATTAACCTTCGTGCCACCGAGGAAGCTGAGGCTCTGCGAAGGGCAAGGGCGGGGCCGCGGTGCTCGCTCTGGCCGCCCCTCTGCCTGGGTGCGTGAGGCCCCAGGGAACGCGGGATCTGGGAAGCAGGCTCACCTGGGTCACCGCCGAGAAGAACACCTGGAGCAGGGTGGGCACCGCCTCGGCGCACTGGACCACCCGGGCACAGCTGGCCATGGGCTGCAGCAGCTGGTGGAGGGGCGCTAACCTGGGGGACACAGCGCAGCACCCTGAGCGCCTGCCCGCTCCCCCGCCCCAGCCGGCGCCCACAGACACACTGTGACCACGAGGACTGTGTAAGCCTGCAGGCCGGGGCCGCAGGAAGCGGGGGGGTCGTCGTGCCACGGCCTGGACTGAGCTTGGACGCCGCCTGCACTGCCCCCATCGGAGGAGGCTGTCCTGTCACCATGCACACCTCGTGCTGCCAAGCCTTGCTCCCGTCACCAGCCGCTCGATCCTCAGCACGGCCCTGCTTCTACAGGACACAGGGAGGGCTGGCACAGGGTGAGCTGCCAGGGGTCTGGGGTCGGGAGGCCTGTTCCAGTCCTGCCCTCCCACTCCTAGGGTGTGCTAAGCCTTAGTTTCTCCACCTGCAGAATGGAGTCAGCACGGCGCCTACCTCACAGGGTGATGAGGACTGAGTCAGGTAACAGAGAGCTGAGCACAAGTCCAGTGCCTGTGTGGTGGGGGTGACCGAGGCTGTCCCTCCAGGTCAGCAGGTGCAAGGCCCGGGGGTGGCCACCAGGGCCCGGCTGCCCTGGGAACCTCGGAATGGGCTCCAGCCACACAGTCATGTCCCAAGGTCTCAGGGTGCTCTCGAGTCCTGAATGGGGCCGTGGGGCCGGGGACGCCCAGCAGCCAGCCCACCCCAGGGGTCGCCACCCGAGCGGCCCCCACCTCTCTGTGGTCCCGCTGGCCTGGGCACGCAGCAGGTGCTGGAAGAGACCCTGGAACCGCAGGTCCCGGAAGCCCTCCAGGCAGCCGGGGGTCCTGAGCGAGGCGTCCCAGAGCGGCCTCTCGGACGTAGCCGGCGACGACCTGTGAGCAGACAGACACCTGAGGCCGGACTCAGACGTGGGCTCCGGACACAGGCCAACCGAGGCCCGACTCAGCCCTGCCCTCACAGGCACCCACTGGCCGGGGAGACACGAGCAGTTGTCATGATAACATCATGGTGCCCTGACCCGGTGATGAGCCCCAGGGTGATGGGAAGGGCCTGGGGGGTCTGGCACCTGCAGGGCGGGGCAGGGGAGGGGGACACGGAGGGAACGGTGAGGAGAGGGCTGGGTGTGCACGACCAGGCAGGGCTGGCAGTGGGCCCCGAGGGCAGGCGGCGCCCTGGGGTGCACCTGAGCTGCAGGTCCAGGGCCGCGGTCAGACAAGGTAGGTCCAGCAGCGCATGCAGCATCTCCACCGCCGTGCCGGCATCAACCAGTGACGGGAGAAGCACCACAAACTCGGAGGTGAGGGGCGGGCTGTGCCAGGCCAGGAACTGCAGGGACAAGCAGGGCAGCTCAGCTGGGATCCAGGAGGGCGTCTGTGGGGCAAGCAGCCCAGCAGCCCAGGGGCCGGCCGCAGAGGGAGAAAGCCAGCCACGACCTCATCACTGCCATCACAGGCGTGCTGCCATAGGGCAGGGGGCGTCTGCATTGGTCCCTCCCCCTTGTCATGCTTCACTGTGACCCAGGAGTCCAAAAAGACTCCCTTTCTTTCAGGACTGAGTCTCCAATTGATTTTGAAAAGGCCAGGCAGTGACGTGCCAGTCACCAAAGACAGATCAAAAGCCACCAGCACCAGAGCGCTGAACACACCAGGCAAGGCTCCCAGGTGGAGATCCGAGGATGCTCCAATCTATACAGACTGTATGGGGACCGACCCACCGTCAGGCCTAACTAGGCCTTCCCGAGAGGACGGGCAGGAGGCCTCCTCTGATGGCGACGCTGTCCATACGTGACGTATGGACACCCAGGGCCACCCCGCACCTCACCCTCCACCCTGCAGTCCAGGCCACCTCCCCTGAGGCCTGGGAGCCACCAGGCCTTGCAGTCACAGCCAGGACTCGCCTGGAGGCCCATGGGCAGAGGGGAGAGCCCAGGGCCCCGCGCACCCTGCCCCAGCCCCCCAGCCCCCGCCCTGGCTCCGGGATGGCCGAGCATGCCTTGAAGAGGTTAGGGAAGCTCAGTTTGAGAATGCCGAGGCTCCTGCCGAACAGGGGGAGGTTGTCCCTGCAGAACTGGACGAACTCGAAGGCCAGCATGGGGCTGTGGAAGAGCTCAGCGGGGACCCTGGTGAATAGGTGCTGGTAGACGGCTTCCGAGTCCACGGCGGCGGCCTCCCCTGAGAGGCACAGGGTGGGTCAGGGCAGAAGGCCTGCACTCAGCACGAGAACCCTCTGCTGCTGGGTGGGGCCCCTCAGCCTCAGGCCAGGCCTCCACGGCCATGTGTGTCTCCAGGACACCAACGGCTCCGAGACGTCCATCTGTACAGGAAAACCTAGCTGAATATATTCAGCCCCTCCCAAGTGTCTCCAGCCACAGACCAACCCTCTGAGCCACACGATGCGGAACGTTCTCAGGAAAGGCCTGGTTTCACAGCACCTTCCAGGAAACTTGCATGAACTCTCATGAAGAGAGTTCTGAGATTGACATAAAGTGGATGACACTTTAATTCACTATGTAAATGCATTTAAACACTACCACCACCCAGTGCAAATGGTCTGTCACAGCAATGCCGTTTGCCCAACAGGGAGGAGGAGAGCCACGTGAAGAGAAAGCCACCCTAACCATGACCTGCGCGGCTCTCCCAGGGAGCCCGGCCGGCCCCCGCCCCAGGAGCCCGCGCTGAGGTGGAAGCTCACCGTGGGTCAGGAAGAACTGGGTGACGGGCAGCAGCGCCCGCACGCACGCCGGATCCCCACACAGCCGCACCTGCAGGGCCTTCAGGCAGGAGAGGGTGCGGTACAGGAAGGACGGGTCCTGCCTGCAGAGCACGTCCAGCACCAGCACGGCCTCCACCAGGCACTGTGGGGACACCCGGGCCACTCAGAGGAGACGGGCGGGGGCCCCACCATGCCCCCTGCTTGCCCCCCCAACCCCGGGCACTTACAGCTTTCTGCAGGTCAGAGTCCCCCTTCCTCAGGGCTCCTGGGGGAAGGAAGAAAGTCAACTAGTCTCTGTTTCAGCATCAAAACAGCCAAACGAGAAGGTGCACTGTGTTCTGGAAGCTCAAGGAGAGACCCGACAACTGGGAGCAGAGGGACAGGATGGGGCCAGCAGAGAACCACCCCCCAGGGGAGATGTGAGGTTGGGACTGATGCCTGGTGGGCTGGGGACGCAGCCCTGAGGAGCCAGGATGGGTTCTGTCCACAGCCAAGCTCCCGGGGGTGATGCCTGGAAACAGAAGCCCCCAGGGAGCAGTGAGGGAAAGAGCAGCGGCCGAGGCAGCATGGCGCGGAGGGACAGCCCAGGACTCACGGCGGTTGCTCTGCTCAATGAGGCGCTGGCAGTACTCGAAGGCCTTCTCCCGCAGCCGCTCCTGGGGGGAAAGCAGGCGGCTGGCGGTGGAGGCGGCCGAGAGCACCGACAGGGTGGAGCCCTCCAGCTCCGACTTATCGTCTGGAAGAGAGGACAGGTGCTTAGCAGGAGGAGGGGCCGCTCCACCCCTGGGGCCCTCGAGGACCGACTGGCCTGTCCTGAGGGTGTGAAGAGAGCCGCCGTCACAGATGACACGGCACTGGGCCCATGCCCAGCCCGGCCACCGTCACCCTCACCAGACGCCCTCAGTGCAGTCAGGTTCCCCCCCCGCCCCCAGGAGTCCAGACGGTCTAAACCGCTGGTGGGCTTGCAAAGGGGGAGTTTGGTGAAGCTGTCTCAATAACCTTGTGACATCTGCCCTAAATGATCACTCTGGCATCTCTGACATGTCTGGGAGGGGCCTCCTGGCATCTAGTGGCTCAGCCAAGGCAGCACTGTCACCCAGGGGCACCCTGGGTCCCACCCGCGTCCCACCTGCGTCGGGGGTGCCGGGGCCGTCGGGGCCACTGTGCAGCAGCCATGCCCGCAGCATGGAGAAGGCCTGCACGTTCAGCCACTGGTCCTCCGTGAAGTGCTGGCCGGTGGACAGCACCGTGAAGAAATCTGTGGCCACCGCCCCGTCCACCTCGGTGACAGGGCCTGGCTGCAGGAGGCAAGGAGGGACAGGGCTGCTGCAGGGCCCCTGGGCTGCAAAGGGCGCAGGCAGCCCCTGGGCTAGGGGCTGAGGCTGAGAAAGGCCGCGGGTCTGCCAGGTATTCGGGGGGGCAGAGAAGAGGCTGCGTGGGATCGGGAGCCATTGCCCCACCCTGTCCTCACACCAAACTGGTCGTCCACACTCTTCTAGAACTAGGGGGCACCCGCCCTTTGTAAGATGCGTGAATGCTGGCATTTGAGTTAAGAATATGGCCCTCTGTCAGATGAGTGATGCCACCAACAAGTTCCAGACCTCAACAGGCACAGTGTCACGGGCTATGGGGCTGTGACCCCGTGTGACCCAAAGCACCTCCCCCTGCCCCACTGAGTGGAAACAGGAAGGAGGGATCATTCTGGAACCAGGGCAGGTGGAAGGACAGGAGGAGTGGACAGGACCCTGCGGGCAAGGCTGGCCAGGGCGGCCCAGGGGCGCCCAGGGACGGGGGTGCTGAGAGCATCCCCAGCCTCACCTGCCGGCCTCTGGGCGTGGAGAAGAAGCCGCCAGAGGAGTGTGCCACCCCTTGCTGGACGCTGGCATAGCGGAGCCAGTCCACCAGGCGCTTGTTGAGCAGGTTAGCCTGGTCTAGTGCGGGGGGAGGGAATGACACCGTGGGAAAGCAGTTCAATCCCCCAGACTCTCCCGACAGAGTCCACACCCTCGGGCCTCCCCGAGTGGGCGCTCGTCTCCTTTGGGAGCCACCCACACAGCCCCTCAGGAAGGGCGAATACCTTCGTGGAGGGTGCCCGGGGCGAGGCTGACGACCTTCGTCACGACCGGGAGGAGGTGCCTCAGACTGGGCCCCTCCGGCTGTCGGCTCTCGAGGACTTTGCAGACGCGCTGGCCCACGCTCCTGACCTCCTGCTTTCCGTCACCCTGCAAACCAAACACAAGCGGAATGCAAAGCACTGACTTGTCCGAGGGCCTGAGCAACAGGTCATTCCGTCAGAAATATCTGGAAAGGGGACTGCCAAACTCTGAAGGCTGCCGCTCTATTAGTGTCATTAATGCATAATGCCACCTCATACAGACACCTAGGAATGTCACCAGAGCAGTCCAGGCCCTGCGGCCTGAATGAGCCTTCACAGAGTCCTGGCTACTTCCCTAGGAATGAGGGGGAAGAGGGAGAACAGAGAGATGGAGGAGGCAGGTGTTGCTGCTTGTTCCAGAAGCATCCGAGCACCAGGTGTCCTGGCACAGCCGAGGCCGCCATAAAAACTGTCAAATGGAAGGGGAAGCCAAGCTGAGCCTGCCCATGCGGCAAGTCGGCACCCTCGTGGGGACCACGGACCAGCCTCCTGGTTCTCTGAGGCCCCAGGGCCACCAAGGGCAGGTAGCCGACCAGACGGTGACAGTCACGTTACCTGGGCCAAGAGCACAGAGGCCACCAGGCTCAGCTGCCGCGTGTTCTGGACGTGGTCACAGGACAGGCTCAGGCTGTGGGAGGGTGACATCTCTCTCAAGATGGCGGCGCAGAGAAGCTGGAGCTGTTCAGGGCACGTGGGCGAGCAGAGGGTGGTCTGCAGCAGGTCCACACACGTCTTCTCCAGCCTGGGACGGCAAGGCCACGGCGGGCGGCACGTCACACCACCGCCAGAGCACCCGGCTCCCAGGCTCCCAGTTGCGCCCCTCTCAGCCCAGAGAGGCGGCCCGGGGCCCTTCGGCAGGCGGAGAGAGCTTTTCATATTTGAGGACCTTTAGCGCTGGTTTAAGTGGACACAGACTCAGACGCCACAGGGACGTTTGCGCCCACCTGCCAGGCGCTGACAAGGTGCCCCCCCGGGCCTGCCATACCCCAAAGATGATCCCACTCACTTCCTGCTATATTTCGTGGCCGAGACGATGAGGAAGAGCCTCTGCAGGGTGTCAACGGCATCAGGCCCCAAGTCCTCCTCCTGCAGCAGCTTACAGACCCGGCAACAGAACTTCTTCAGCTCCTCATCCTGGATCTCCCTAAGCGAAGAAGACCATGTCAGCAACCTGGCATTGAGAGACCTGGCCGAGGGATCCAGAAATGTCGCCCTGAGCTGCGACAGAATGCCTCTCGGGCTGGGGGAACATCCCTACCAAGCAGAGAAACCTGGGTGTCGTGGGAAGTGATTCCACCACCCCACGACATCTCATGTGATAGATCTGCTGACTGGCTCCCAACCCACTTCCTCTCTCCCTGGGATTCAGGATCCATGGAGCCATTCCCCTCCCCTGCCGGGAAGGGCTGTCGGGGAGACCATCACCCCAATAGTTTACTACCACACACCTCATTAACAGAGACTCCACGCTTGGATTCTGTTACTCCAGGAGCAGAACTAAAACTGATTGATTTTAGGAGTCTCACTCAAAAGTAACAGAAATTTAGTCTAAAGTAAGTTGCTTTTCAAGATTCCTTCAGTGAGCCTTTCACTTCTGGGAACAAGAGTCAAATCTTACATATTAAAGGGCAAATATTATCACACATTGTAAAGTAAGCCTATTATAGTTTCTTACTGTAACACTTAATTTGCTTAATTAAAAAATGTATCTATTGAGCATTGACAACAGGTAAGATATTGAACAAAGTCTCAAAACGGAAACCTGGTTTTAGGCTTCTATTTCAGTCCAAAAGCCAAGAAAAGGTAACATGCCGATAACTCGCTGTTCTAGGGACCTCTGGGGGCTCTGGGAGAAGGGCCCCCCATGCAGCCGTGTCCTCACCCAACCCCCCAAGCTGTGGCTGAAGTCCACTAAACCCATTCTGGACGGCTCGGATGCTTGAGCTCGGGAATCTGGAATTTTGAACCGAGAGACAGGGCGTCCCCAGCCCTGGGGCTGAGGAGAGGGTTCGGTGAACATCTGGAGCTGGGGGCCTGGGGCGGCTTCCTGTGTTTCCTGTTCTCACTTGAAGGCTGGCAGATAATCCCAGTGAATTCCCCGCCACTCCTCAACACTGCCACGGCCCCTCTACGGTCTGCATTGTTTTACTTAATCTAGCCAGAGTTGGGTCCAGTCACCCACAAACTAAAGAACAGGCACACGTGGGATGAGGAGAAGGACACAGAGAGACAAGAGGCCAGGTCCGAGACTGAGCGAGGAGCTACCAGACTGTCTCGCAATTATAATGGAGAATCTTTCCCAGAACGGTGGGCCTCCTCATCCCAAATTAATCCCTTCCAGTAAACTCTCCAAATCACAGGATTCTTCCTAAAAGGCCAATCTGCTCAAACCCTTAGCTTTCAAACCCAAACTCCTACAGATGCCAACAATCTTACAAGGCCCGGCCCTCCTTACTTCTCCAAGAGCCGACAAGTCCTGTTTCTCTTGCTTCTGACCCTTCGCAAGGACCCTCTACCTGCAATACTTTTGACTTCTTCTCTCACTGGTTAACGCCTCACTCGTTCTCTGAGCTTGTTGTCTCATCCTTCTGGAAACCTCCCCTGACCTTGCTGCACCCCCTGCCCCCAACTTTCTTCACTTATTCTTCAGCTTAAAAGAGATGCTTCTGATAACTTCTTCCACGCTTGCTTTCCATCTCTGAAAAATTTAGAGAAACTAAAATTCACTCCAAATCCTAACTCCCAAACCTTACCAATTTATTTTAAAGTGCCACCAAAAACCACAGGCTTAATTAACATAAGATATATAGAAACACTAGTAAAACCTAACTGATAGTTGTTAACTTTCCTCAAATCGTAACAGAGAAATTGTATAACTCATACATTTTACTTATGGATATTTAACCATACCCTATCCTCAATCCACCCAAGACAGAGAGACAAAGAAATAAGAAGTGAAATATTGTGGGCTATTCCTTCTGCCTTTCATTCTACGAATTTATGACCTTGAGTGGAAGGTGAGTTGGGAGAGGCAAACCCAATGAAGCTCTGAGCGGGTCTCAGTTGTGCAAGAACTTTGGGGTGAGCATGTCGCATGTTGAGTGAGATGCTAGGATTTAAAGATACCTATTTTTTCATTTAATACAGTCCCTAAATTCAAGTGAACTTGGAATACTGGAACTTGAATATTGGAATATATATCCAATATGGAAAGACAGAAAGTGTTGGACTTTTTGGAAGATGGTGCTGCAAATCCACAAAACACCTTCCTAACAGACTTTCAAGGGTTATTTTGACTATAAAAGATTTTTGCCCTGTTCACAGACTTTAGACCCTAATCTGCATTCAAGATCTTGCTTCACTATAATCACAGCAGCCGCAACCATCCTAATCTTTCCCACCAACAGCTCTGAATCCAGTTTTTTGGTTTTTAAAGTTTAGCAGGGGCTTGTGGTTGTGGCTGCATTTTCTTCTTTTAAACAAGTAGCATCAAGTCTTAGACAGTCTGATGGACTGTGGGGTTTTGGTCCTAGCCTACATTCCTTCTCCCATGACTGGTTAGTAGGTGAGGAAGGGGCTACCGACTAGTTAGGGGAGTCCCGAGCCAGCTATAGGCCAGAAGCCCATTCAACGCATCAGCAGAAGAGCGATCTTTCTAAATCACAAGATCCTCCCATGGCCCCCAAAGCCCTCGGGAGGTTCAAACTCTTGAGCCTGGCACACACAGCTTGCCATGGCTCAATCCAACAAGCTCTCCAGCCTCTCTGTAGCTTTGCCCTCTTGACCCTGAAGCCACTGACAGCTTCTGGATACCCCGCTCCCTGCCTTTGGCCAACCAACCAGCCGGTCCCACTCCCCTTCATTTCCACTCATCCTCAGGGCGCTGCTCCGGCGCCACCTCCTCCGGGGACCACCTCGACCCTCCCCGGGCCTCCTCCCCCCGTGCTTGGCCGGCGTGGCCTCCCTATTCCTCGGGTCTCCAGAGCTGGTCCCGGCGGGCACCTCCGAGCCGCCGCGCCCGAGCCCCGCCCTCAGACCACCACTAGGCGCGCCCAGGGACCGGCCGGGGCACCTGGCCTGGCGGAGCAGACTCTCCGCCCCCGCCGTGAACATCCCGCAGCCGCCGGCACCACACGGACACGCAACCCGCGCGCTCCGCCGCTCCGACTCCAGGAGGCGTGCCCTGTCTCGCCGGCTTCCGGGTTGCATCACGTGCCGCGTCACGTGGGCAGAGCGGACGGGCCGCCGACCAATGGACTTTGGCGGAGCTTCTCGGGGGCGGGGACGTCAGCGCTCAGACCGCTGGGCCGGGTGGGCTCCCGGTCGCCTTCCGGCACCGCGGGACTCGGAGAGCTCCTGATGGACGCCGGGAGCCCGGGCTGTCACCGGGCTCAGCGCCGTCCCCCCAGCTCTCGGTTGTTTCATCAACAGCTCCGTCGGTGCGGGTCCTGTGATCAGTCCGACCTGAAAGTATTACAGACTCCGCGGCTGGGGGCTGGGTCCTGTCCAGCGGTTTGCAGGGAACAGCTGCAGCTCTTAGTTTTGTTTTAAGTTGTGGTTGTTTTTTTAAAGCTCCCATTTATTTAGCACCTCTCATAGGCGGTATCTGCTACTTTAAAAAATCTTGTGGTCGCGGGCTAGGTCAGTCAGTACAGCATGAGACTCTTAAAAAAAATCTTATTCAATCCCCCCCCATAACCACAGGCCGTGGGTATCTGTTTTACAGTTGAGGCGACAGGGTGAGAGGGGGAAAGTTAATTTCTAGCAATTCTAGAAGATTGTCGGCCACAGTATTTCCACCCTGCAGACTGCGTGGGGACACAGGGCCATGCTTGGGCAGTGAGAATCCAGCGTGAGAATGCCGTTTCACCCTAAACTGGGCGACTCTTATAGGAGGAAGACCTCTGAGGGACTGGAGCCTGAGATGAGCCCGAGGGTGGCAGACCGAGAGGTGGGGAGGGTAGGCCTAGGCTGAGGTACTCATGGCAGCATGCAGTACTGCAGCGTCAGTGCACCTGGGCGGGAACCTGGTGTCTGGCAGCAGAATGGAGACTGGATGGGCTGGTACAGACAGTGGTCCAGGAGAGAGAGGGAGGTTGTGGAGCTGGGTAAAGGCCACGAGGATGGAGAAGTAGGCAGATTTAGTAACCATTCAGGGGCAGGATTTGTAGGACCTGGATTGGATTTGGGGGCGGGAGGAACAGGGAAAAATCCAAGGCAACAGTGGGTTTCTGGCTTACCAGGTGGTGCGGTTCACTTAGCATTGCAGCAGGAGAGGATGAGGAAGTTTGTGGAGTCATTCATTCAATGAACAAGCAATGACTGAGTCCCTACGCAGTGCGAGGCAGTGTTTAGGTTCTGGGAAGAGTGAACAAGGGAGGCCAAGTCTCCGCCCTCACAGAATTTACAGCCAACAAGGGCGACAGTTATCAAATATACAAACATACACATAAGCCTCTCGTGGTAAATGCTATGAAAGAAGATAAAGCAGAGGAAGAGGAGTGCAGCGGGAGAGTTGGGTGTTCTTCAGATGGGCGGGTCAGGGCAGCCTCAGAGGGATAAAGAGAAGACACCTGAATGGAGAACAGGAAGGGGACGGAGGGAGGACAGGCTAGGCACCCAACAGCGGGAATTCTGGACTCGGTGGTTCTGAGATGCCCTTACAGCGCCCAAGTGGAGATGCTGAAGGCGACCGGTGCTGAGGATGAAGAGATGGGGGCCAGCGGTGGTGAGCGAGGCCATGACAGTGCTCCTGCCCCGCAAGCACGTGAGTGAGGTGCCCACGCCCCCCAGGAGCCGGAGGGTGAAGAGGAAAGGAAATGACAAAGGCAGCTGGCTACGGGCAGTCTCTCTGGAGAGCCTGCTGCCCGCTAAGCACTGGACATCAGCGCTCTCTGACCTGGGGGACAGCTCTGAGGAGAGTTTTATTACCATTTGAAGGATGAGTTGACTGAAGCTAGAAAAGTGGTTAAGGTGCCCAAGGTCACACACCTGTAAAGGGGGGAGGGATCTGAACCAGCAGTTGGACTCCAGGTCAGTGCTTGTAGCTACTCTGTCCACTGCCTGCTGAGGAATGGCCAGAGAAGCGGCAAGAAGTCTAGGTTCCAGAGGCCGAGATGCAGAGGCAGAGCTGCTGAGAGGCCGTGTGAGGTCAGCACTGACTGTGCACAGCCTCAGCTGGTGGCCACTCAGGAGACGGAAAGCCCTCAGGTATTAGAAGATTCCCCGTAAAGAACTGCCAAGCAGGTATTGAAGAATTGAGAGGGAGCAGGGAGCAGCAACTCCTCCTAGTGGTGAGGGAACAAAGGGAAGAGGGTAGAATTATTAAAACTTAGGAGCTTGGTGGAGGGGTCCCACGGAGCTGAAACAGCCCTTGAGGAGGCACAACACGGCTGGCACGTGGCTGGCCCTGGCTGGGCTGGAAGCACTGACTGCAGCCAGCCGCTGGGGCCAGAACGTTTGCTGCAGAAAGTTGCCGAGAACAGGAAGCATCTTCCTGCCTTCCAGTCCCCTCTAGCGCCGTGTCAGCCAGCCTGACAGGGAGGAACTGGCAAAGCATAGACAGGTTTGCAGAGCGCCAGCCCCGGAACCACAAACACAGAGCAGAGCAAACTGGGTCTGAAGCTACCACAGCAGCTTCACCACGACGTGGTTTTGGTGGGAGTTTGCTGCTTTACTTGAGCCATGGCATAGAAATCAAATTCAAAGTGACTACGTTTAGACCTACAGAATTTGAGACCTGGAAAGGAGTTCAAATATTAGTTTCATAGCTAAAAAAAAAAAATGTTTATTAAGTTCAAACATACACCAAGTGCACAAATGAACTCAATGTTTTACGTTTCTCTAACTCAGGGATATGCTGTCCATGTGTAACTGGCTCTGCTGGAAGGGGGTGATTTGTAGTGTCTGATCATTTCGGTGATGGAAATACTCCAGCAATGGCTGATTTCAAGCTGCCAATGTGATGTCACTGAACAGAACTGGGAGGACACTGGCAGTCGTGCCAGTCTGCCCACCAGACAGATACGATGGACTTAATAACCTTGAGAGCGCAGCTAACAGGCAGATAATAGTGAGGAATCAAGTATTTAGCACCTTTGTTTTTAATGTAACTAACTTATTTAGTTGTAAGTTGATATAGTTAAAATTTTAATAATGGCTTTAACAGCTGGCTCACAAAATTCCTGAGAATTTCACGAGCAGCTCTCGTGCGCTGGCTTCAGCACTGCTGTAAACCGTGTGGCCACTGCCAGGATTGGAGAGAGCATGTTGCCAGGGCCCCACTGACCCGAGTGCCCATTCCAGTCAACAGCCCCCTCCCCTCCCAGAGGTAACCGCTGGCCTCGCTTTTAGCACCCTGGGTTAGTTTTGCCTGTTTGTACACTTCATACAAATGGAACCCACAGTGTGGCCTTCTCTGCTGGCTCTTCCCCACAGCTTGACGCCTGTGAGCTTCATCCATGCTGTGGTGCTGTAGCTGTTCTTTCTCATCGCCGGGTCCGATTCAGTGTAGGCCTGCATGAATTTACCACAATTCATCCATTCTACTGTTGATGAATATCTGGTTTCCCAAATTTGGGCAATAATGAACACAGCTGCGACGCACCATCTGTCTTTTGTGCGGGGATCCGCACTCGCTGCTCTCTGGTTCACAGGGTAGCTTAACTGTTACTGAGAACTTAACTAGTGGGAGGACTCTCTCTCTCTCCACACACCCCAAGTGATACTACCAAGGGTAGTAACTGTTTCTTACCAAATTTACATTTTTGTAACATGTTATTTTAAGGTCTTGCTAGTAAGAAACGGTTGTCTTAATCAAAAACAAATCTTTAACTAGCTTTTTTAAAAGATGCTAATTAGCCAGTGTAGCTCCCGAAAATTCTTATTCTCACTCTTGCCTGCTGTTTGGCTAAAATCTTAAATTACAATGACTGTTCATGTTGTGTTAAGGCTTACAGGTGGAGTCTTACAGTGGAGGTGGAGTAACCTGAAGGAAAGTAAAGACGTGTGCAAACTTCACCTACAACGTGGACAACTGTGCAGCCTGAAGAAGCCGAGTGATTTACTTGGCTGAATGAGGTGATGGGTCACATGCACAAACACGAGAGAACCTTGACAAAAGATGGGTTTGTGACACACACACACATTTTTATTAAACTCCAAGTCAGAGGTAGTCTGCAGCAGAGACACCCGAGTGTCTTCTCATAATGATCTCCCTATAAATCCGGCAGGCACTGGGAAAGAGGAGGTCCTGACGCACCATGTCCCTCAATCCGCAGAACGTTCTGTGAGGTGGGGTGCCTGTTCTGCAGATGAAGAAATGCAGCTTCTCGCAGGTCAGAGTCCCCCAGCTGGACGTGGACCCCAGGTCTGTCTGACCCAAGTCCATGCCCGACCACCTCTGTTCTGCGGCCTCTCACCTCCCGCTCAGCACCGAGAATAAGCAAGGCCTAGGAGACAGCACGTAAAAGGGGTGGAGGGTCTCATGTAGCTGAGCAGCAGGAAGGACCTACGTCTGCCCAGGGGCCACTTCTGGTGGGTGCAAGGACCCACCGAGGCCGCTGTGGGCATCCCCCAGCCTAGTTGTGGGAGCCGGGGCAGGGGAGGCCCTGCTGGTTCCTCCGCGTCTGGGGCAGACGTGAGTTGTCTTCCGTCCCTAGAGCTGTGCATGCTCAGGTTCGGGGAACTCATGGAAACAGCCAGCACCTCCAGAGAGCGTGTCCTTCATCAGTCTGCTTCCTCCCGGGAGTCGGTGACTGAGGACAAATGGGAGAAAGCACATCTCCCCCGGTATCGGCCCCTCGGGGTCAGGTGCCCCCACTCCAGGGGGCAGAGGGGGCTGCGTGTCCAGGCTGTCTGCCTACCTGTCCGTCTGTCCCTCAGCAGCCACTCACAAGGACCACACAGAGCCCTGGTGTCATTTCTTTAATATATAATTTTATTTCTGGTTATAGAAACAAATGCTAAGAGGAGAAACAAAACTTCCCCATCCACATACAACAATTTAATAGATAAAAGAACAGTTAAAATAAATGAAAAACAAAAAGTAGAAATTTTAAACTTTGTTATAGCTTTGAAACATTAACGTCTGATACAATTAGAAATCACATTCAGATCTCAAACTTTTAAAAAAAAGTATGGCTCCTTATTAAAAAAATACTGTATCCCATTTGAAATGAAAATGCAGGCTGGCCAGCTGCTGTGTCTGTCTTCTGA